ACTCTGTAATAACGTACATGGCAGTCCAGCAACATAGCCATTGTGCCAACTGTTGGTCTCTGCTTTTTGTTTATTTAAGACAGGTTTTTGCTATAGGGCATGTGTGCTCACCAGACAGACAGATAGAGAGACAGAAAGCAAGAAATCATCCCCTGGGGGGGATGGCCACACCAAAATCCCTTCTCCTCCATTCTCCTCTTGGGATTTTTGGCACGCACGCACACGTGCTCGGTGTGAGTTTGTAGCCACTGGCTCCAGGACTTGAACTGTAGTTGGTCATGTGGGAGTCCAGTGACATAAACATTATGCTATCTGCTGGTCTCAGGATTTCAACTTTTTGTAAGGGGAAAGTTTACTAAAGGATTAAAATGTCCTCCTAACTAAGTCCTTCTTAGGAAATTAAACACCAAGATTTGCTCTTTTTTCTTTTTTCTTTTTTTTTTTTTTTCATCTGAGAGGGGAGGTTGTTGCTAATAGACCAACTTTTCCTTTCAGATTCTATAAATAAACTATTATATTTATATGATTATAGATAGATGTGGGTGTAATGCAACTGCTTTAAAGTTGTCTAATTTAGGCTGTCCAATTACAAAATCATTATTTAATTTAAAAGGTTATAGCTTCAGGAAAATTTTCAGTTTAATTTGAAATAATGTTCTTATTCTGAGGTTGTCCAGAACGATGGCATCTCAGAAACATGTTTCCCCACAGTTTGTTTTGGAGAACAGAAAACCATTTACATATTATTTTATATATACACATACAAAGATTAAAAAAAAAAAACCCACACTGATACTTAGGCATATAAGTTAAACAGAAGTTCTGAGTAATGATGAAAAATTTTCCCAACATTTAGAAAATCTGTACTTGAATGTATAGGAAATAAAATACCATGGTATAAAATGTTCTTTTCTGATAAAGGAGCAACTACAGAAAGCTTTTACTTATTCAGAGTAGCCAGTGTTGTGGGATGCAACCCATCCCACCAACTCCCCCAATGCTACTTTCAAAACAAACAAACTAAACTTGACTTTTCCATTAGAATGTATTTCCCCACACTAGTAAATCAAAATCCAAAACCCAGAATACTCCCCCAGTACTACTTTCAAAACAAACTAAACTTGACTTTTCCATTAGAATGTATTTCCCCACACTAGTAAATCAAAATCCAAAACCCAGAATTCATATCTATACACACAATGCAAACAATTATTGAGCTTCATCTTCTGGACAAAAGCGTGAAATTTGTCTCCATAAAAAGCAATTACAGTTTGAGGACACTTCATAGTGCTTCATTTGCCAGCAACAAGTCGGCCTCGTCGGAATCTTCCAGTTTCTTGCGCAGCATCCACTCTCCACTGTGGCCTGTGGCATCAATTACTCACTCAGGATCTAGACATCTGGTGAGGCCTTGGCTTCTCAGCAGCAGCTCTTTTCTTTGATTTGCCATCAGATTCACTGTCAGATAAAGATTTTCCTCTTTGTACCATCTTTTTATTTTTTCCCTCAGCTTTTTGAGAATTAAGGAATGCTTTAACTCTGAACGGTCTAAATTTTCTTTTGATTCCTAAGTATTGTCAGCATCTGTAAATCCTCTCCACTTGAAAAATGCTCCAATCACCCACTCAGGAAACATCCAGTACTTTTTCCACCACAAATACTTCAGGTTCTAACTCTTCAACTATTTTACTCTTTCCATTCTGTTTCATACTTTTTTTTTTTTGCTATAGGGCGCGTGTGCTCGCCAGAGAGACAGAGAGATATAAAGCGAGAAATCACCCCCCAGGGGGGATGGTCATGCCGCAATCCCTTCTCCTCCATTCTCCTCTCGGGATCTTGGGCACACACGCACACGCGCCCAGTGTGAGTTTTAAGCCACCTAGTCCGGGACGCGAACCGTGGTCAACTACATGGGAGTTCCCGACATAGCCATTATGCTAACTGCTGGTCCATAGACGTTATGCTAACTGCTGGTCCCCATACTCATTTTTTTTTTTTCAATGTGATTTTATTAGAGTACATTTTTTATCAAAGACTTGAAAAGTTCACCACCTCGGAGCAGCTGTCGGTTGCAAGTCTGTGGTGTCTCAAGTCCCACTCGCCTCAACTCCATCCTTAGACCCATTCCATCACCTCTTCCCAAAGACTTATAAATGTACTGTAAGTCTTTTAAGTCTATTTTAATATGTTTATATCATCTCTACCTATTGCTGAGTAAAATATAGTATTGTTTCTCTTGATATTTTGAATTTTGACTAAAATGGCATCATTACAACTTACATTTTCTCCCAAAACATAACTTTGAAATATACAGAAATTCAGGTCATGACTTTAATATTCAACTTATGACTATACAATGCATTCTCAGTGTTTCCACTTGCTGCTGTTACCTATAGTACTGTAAAGATGGTCCTTAAGTAGATGGAAAACAGTCTGTCCATGAGGTATGTATCCTTGGATGAATGGTATGAATGAATCATGCACATATTAATATTTACATAATTTATACATATTGTTATCTTCACTAGCTATTGTTTCAGCTACATGGTAGTTAGACTGGAGACACACTAAACTACACAATTTCTTGCTTCCCTGTATTAATAACAACGTCAGATTTTGTCCTAATTTCCTATTATTGACACTTGGCTAAATGTAACATCTTCAAAATTAATTTTCCCTTCTCGTGTTCCTGAAATCAAGTATCTTCTGACAGGTTTACTCTCCAGGTAGGCATCGCATTATATAAATTACTTGTTCATTTACCTTACCTATACATCCATTAGGCTACTGATTGGTATATAAGAATTCTTCATTATTATGAAGGGACTTCAAAAAGTTCATGGAGGGCTGGCCCCACAGTGCAGTGATTAACACTTCACATAAGGAGCTGGATCCAACACAGCTGGCTGCATTTAAAATACTGGCAGCCCAAAAACTGGAACCTACACTTGCAGTGCCTAAATTATGACAGGACGGAGAAATGGAGAAGCATAATATATCCCATTGGGGGTTGCTTTCTCTCTCCGTCTCTCAGTCTCTCTGTGGCATGGGATCATGCTCTCTTTAACTTTTCTAAAAGTTCCTGGAAAATACAATTAAAGCACAACTTTATTTAGGTACAAAAAGTTTTGAAATCATGTGTAGTTAATTCATAGTACACATTTTCCATGAACTTTTTCAATATCCTCATAACTTCTCCCATTCTACTTCTCTCAGTTTTAGAGTTTTATAGGGTCTCTTGACTTTTATAACACCCTGACTAGACTCTGTGCTCCCATACGATGTATTAAAATAAAATTTTTCAACATTTTGTTTTTATTTAGAGTTTGTGCCCTTTTTTTGGCCTTTATTATTCAAATATTATAAAGATATTATTTCTTATTTTCTCTTTCCTCATGTAGAACTTTAACCCAAATGAGGATTTGTTTGTTTGGTTTTAGTTTCGGGGGGTTTATTTTAGAAATAATATAACATTTCTTTATAGAAATGTAATTTTTTTATAAGAAATTATATATTCTCTTTGTTCTTTTCTGAAATACTTTGGCTATTTTTGGACCTTTACTGTACACAAGAATTTTAGAATTAATTTCTCAACTTGCGTAGGTCACATTATGATTTTATTAGAATTTTATTTAGTCTATAGATTAATTAGCAAAATCAATTTCCTGTGCACTAATATGGCAATCTAGCCATTATTCAATTTTCTTATTTACACTTAAATAATAGAGAACATCATTTTCTTCTGAAAGGTCTTACAAATCTGTTAGATTAATTCCTGTGCATATATATGTTTTTTTGTTTCTGTTGTGAATGGTACCTTTTTTTGACTACTGGATTTTATAATTATTGCTGATACATAAAATTATGTTGTATTTCTGAGAGTGAATCTAGCCATCTTGCTGTGCTCTGTAGATTCTCTTAGACTCAGTATGCAGAAAATTATATCATTTGAAAAAACTTAGAATTTGAGCCTCTTTTTCCAATTCTTAAAATCATGTTCTTATCATTTATTTTTGTTATTCTTCTGCTCCCAAACATCCAGCACAATGTTAATGCCAACAATAATCACCAGGCATCCTTCTTGATGTCTTACTTTAGCAGAAATGCCCTACCTTCATCTTTGTACAATATCTCCTTTTGGCAGCTCCTTTTTATTGGATTAAGAAAATTCCTTTTGAACCAGCTGATG